TTGAAAACACGTCTCCCAGAAAGTATCACCGTTATTCTTTATTTTAGGAGATATAAGAAGATTGCTACTTTCCTGAAAACTCAGCCCTGATGAAGGAATTTACTACAAGTAGTAAAATGTTTTGTAAGAACACAAGTACTTTCGTGGCTCTCAAAGATTTGGGATCCAGACCCTTTGACAGGCTTTGCTGTTACATGGTTTGGGAAACTGTCCTGAAACTTTTTATGCACACACTAGCTCTCATTACATGAATGAACACTGCTTTGCTGTACTAAAAGCTGGTAATATGTAATAATTCCAGGTTTATTCCATCATGGTTTTGCAAGTAAGTATCTGATACGCACCCTAACATGAAGAAAACAGCAGGTAGATAATAAGGGCTGGTGTCAGCCTAGTGTTAGATATCAAGAAGGTGAGAGGATGCAGCTGATTCTATACGGTATGTCTTGTACACAAAAATACCAGCAGTAACTACAATCTTAGGTTACTGTTCCAGAGATTATTTTATGAGCTAGTAAGAAATAAGTGGTCTCACAGACAGACCAGCTATGACTGTAGATCTTCTAAGTCAGGTATATAGGAAATATGGAAGTGTAGTTAACAGTCTTTCTAAACCCACCACATATACTGATCACTGTATGAGGGGCATAAATCCCTCTCTCTCAAGAGAAAATGAGTGGAAAGCTCCCCCCAGCAGCGACACAGACAGCAATAAAAATCCAACAGAGGATTCATGCCCCCCTTTGTCCAAAAAAAAAAAAACAAAAAGATTTGTCTGAAGTTGGCCTTTAAATATGACATTGGAGATCTTAGTGTTTGGACTGGTTGGCAAATTTTCTGTTGACTTTGTATTAGAATTCATACAAGTTCAATGTCATCCTGTACTGCGAGTTGCCGCTATAGTCTTGATGATGTTATGGTTTCTTTGATAAATATAATCAGAAATTGCTATTGATTCCTCTAAATACCCTTTATTCCAGTTGCCTTTCCAAGGTTTGCAATGTGGCTGTAAATAAAAAATTTCTAAGAAAAACCTATTTTATGATTCTTTTAGTTCAGGCACCATTCTCTTCCTTAGTCTCACAAGTATTTCCATGTTACACTATGTTTGTATGTATATTTTATATCAAATGCAATTCACTAAATACAAATCTATTCTCCAAATTCATCAAGGAGTATTGACTCAATCGTGAAAACCAAATGTTACAACAATGCTTTCTGGTAAGGATGACCATGCTTTTCAGGAACTGAAAATTCCACAATGTGATTTATACGGTTTTATTTTTTATGGAGAAAAAAACTAAATCAGATTTATGCAAAACACAAAACAATTTAATTAACAAAATGAAAGAGGATCAAAATTAAGGAAACACAGCATAATGTTACAGCTGCTACAAACAGCAGGGATAGCTTCAGTTTACATTGGAACAGAACGTTGAGCATAATTTAGAAAAATGAGCAAAGGAAGATAAAAATGTCAAACCAGCCAATCATTGTCCATAACTCATTGTTGTAGTGCACTGTATATTGTCCACAAGCCATTGTTATAGCGCACAGTATGAAGAAAAAAAAATTCTCACACCTTATTACAGCTTCTCTACTGTTTTCCTCTCAAGGAAACCTTGAAATTAATTTTAGGGTTTGGGGAACCCTTGCTAAAACCAATTCATTGGGTGCTCCTTACATTGTTTGTCAGTGGGAAGAATGCCCTCCTCAAAAGTAGTGCTCAGTATGCCACCATTACAGATAGCTAAAGATCATTGGTGTCATACTGCTGACTCTGGTAAGTGTTGTTGGCCTGAAACGGTACAGTCACCATCAAATGGAAGGTCAATCAGCTACAGCTTAATGAACTCTTAGCCACTCTATAGGAACCTTAGGATTTCAGGAAATCCTTGCTGAGAATGGCCTTATTGTGTGGAATGGAATATCTGAGATGGGAACATAGTCCTGGAAAACCTCACTAGCATAAGTATACAGATAACTGTAAAATAAACACTATAAGATTTGTGATAATGCTTTGCAGTCTTCTATGCCAACATCATCTTACAAAAAGGCAGCACATTTAAGCTATTGGCACTGTAGATCTTGCTAAACAAATCCACTCATCCCCATCACAGAATGATTTACTTTCTGGTTGTTACATTTTGAACTGGAGAGGTTGAAGATAATAATAATTGCCATCCTTCACAGACTACACATTTATGGAAATAAAAAAAAGACAAGTGGGTGTACAAAATGAAAGTTTTATATACATTCATTAAGTCCTTGACAGATCAACATATACACAAAAATAAGAAATCAAGGAAATTATTATACACAAAACACAAAATGGGTAGGATAAAACTGTACTTCCATAGAACAAAGGTTACAGCTGTTCAGCCTAGTTTGGAGCACAAAGCAAAGTGGAAGAACAGTGGACTAGCATGACACAGCTAGGGTGATCTGTCAGATAATTTTTTTATCAACCCTGGTCATTGGGGACTAGGAGTCAAGGCCTTACTGTAAAAGCATAGACAGTGCTAAATTTGTTCAGATTGTCCACACTGTGTAATAAAACCAAGCCCGACCTGTTCTTCCAAGCTTACCCAGTCTCTCACTTCTGGTGCCATTACAAAGACATTTCAGGTACTCATACTTGTCGTATCTAAAAATACAGTTATTGATTTTGTAAATACATAATTGGATTAAAGTGGAAGTCTATTATTTTTTACGTGCAGGTAAGCCTTTAATAAGGCCTACCTGTAGGTACTGTAAATATCTCCTAAACGTGCACTTGTGATGTAACCGATGCATGTGCACTGCATTCTCAATGGACAGAGAGAGAGATGTGCCACGGTCATCACTTCCGCACGAATGCAAGCAGGAGTAATGTCATTGCGCTTCAGCCAGTCAAGCGGCTGCAGCCCGTGAACTCAAAGGAAGACCGGGTGAAGATGAAAGCCTTGGGGAGTACATACAGCGCTCTGCTGGAGGGCTCCGTTTTCAGGTAGGTCTTTCATAATGTGCATGCGATGCATATTGGCACATTATGCTCCTAACTTGCAGGGAGATTTTTTTAATTTATTTTTTGCAGTTTACTACAGCTTTAAAAGGTGATCAGCATTAATGTTAACATGTAACTGTTCCTCAGGTCACTAAAGACACTAAGCAAGGAGTGGTCCTATAAAAATATTGTAAGCCTGGAAATGTGTAAACATAATGGTGTTCACAGCAAACTAGAAGTCTGGAGAAAACCTAAAAACTTTTTTTCCTTTCTTTAGATTTTAGTTTGTTAGTCTGCATATGGCATCCTACAATCATATCAAAAGAAATGAGGATGGTTACCTTTTTACTAAATATATTCTAAGAAAACACTGCCATGGTATGCTGACCACATAAAACACTTAAATTGTGGAATACAAACAATATTATCCATATGTAAAAATGCAGAAATATGACAATCTAAGGCAGGTTAAATCTGATTGCTATGGGCAACATATACTCTCACTTCCTCCAGTGTATTTAGAAGGCTCAAATATTTCGGGTGTTATGAAGTGTCAGCAAATATTAAACTGCTACTTTAAACAAGATTTTATAATGGGGAGAACCAAGATTTTTATTTTAACCTTTTCAAACCAGAGGTTGATAAAACAATGGCCATCTTACAAAAGGTTGAAGTAAATTCAAAGTGCATATTACAGAAGTGGTTTATGACAGAATGATAATGCATTCAGCTTTTGGAAAACAAAATTTGAATCTAAACACTGCTTGCTCTAAAATATCAACCTTGACGAATTACCTTAAAAGCAATTCCACGTGTTGGAGAATACAAAAAAAATAATGTAAATTAAGTTTAGGTACATATTAGGGTAATGCTATTATTTTAAGGCGAACCTGTCAGGATATACCTATGGAAGCTATCACTGTTGACTTGTTCGGTTCTGAGTTTGTCAACCCAAATTCTGGCATGGCTACCTAGGGAGTCATTAGGGTTGATACTAAATAGGCTGACAAATAGGCTGTTCACTTAGCAAGATCATTTTTATTTTGCAAAATGTTTCCTTAGCGAATGTGGTCAGAATTCAATTTGTAAAGAATACCCAATCATGTGCAAGAAAAATTTAAAAACCCCAAAACCAGTATTTTTGCTTACACATAATTGGATGATGGAAGTTCATAGAGCTTCACCTCATTCACTAAGCTATGGAAAAAATCCCTTGCAAACTGAACAGCCTATTTGCCTTTAGTATTATTACGGGTTAGGGGCTTACTGGATAGGAAAAGCAAGGATCAAGATGATGGCTCTAGAACCTGTACTTTGAAAACATAGCAGTAATAGCATCTCCTAAATGTCTACTCATTCTTTTTAGAGAACTTTGGAGATAAATTATAATAATAGGGATGTATAAAACTAGGCTGAAGAAAAACAAAAAAAAAAAAAAAGAGTAAAAGCAGAACAGCTGTTGATAGTTACCAATCGGATTTAATGATTTAGCTAATAGGAAAAAGGTACAAGCTATTCAATTTGTCTCTGAAAGTTACTGTGCTACATTCTCTGCATACACAAATCCCTGAAGATCAATTTAACCCCATAACTTTAGTAAGCATTTGTGTTCTTTTTGAATTTCTCTCAGCAGAGAAGGCTTTTTTTCTTTTGGAAATGGGTGATCTTTATTTTATTTCCCTATCTCTCCCCCTAATCATTACTTATACACATCATATATTCATAGACGCTATTTAGCCGTTATCTGATATACTGTACATATAGTTATACAGACACTCTGAGAATAATGGAGGCAGCTCAATTCTATTAAAAGGCATCACTTGTATTAAAGCCACTGAAGGAGGATTATTAAGAACTTGACAAAGGAACCATTTCTTCATTTGAGGCAGTATCACATGAGGTGGCTGGCAGACATTAGCCCACATTGCTGGCAGCAATGTAAAGAACCCTGATGTCTAGGTTTGGTAACAGAATGTCAGAATCCATCTGCTACACCTGTTGGGAACACTGGACACTACTTTGATGGTCCAAAATGAATTAGTGTCATAACTGTTGTGTACCCATGTAAAAGGTTGTCTTTTTCACTGTTACATTCTCGCAATGTAAAACTTCCACTCACTACCCGGTCACAGCCAATCTCGCCATTGCCGAAGAAACCAAGCAAAGGCACATTAGGAAAGTGCTTCCGAAAACAGTCTGCTTCAACATTTTTTTTCTTGTAGTGCTGCTCTCCTCGGCCAACGCATGCAAACATAAGCCCCACACTGTTCTCTGTGGGTATATTGGCTGCTTTCAGGCGCTGCATGGCAGAGTCTACAGTCTTTTCATCATAGATATCTTGATCCAGTAGAACTGTGGCTCCTTGGATTTGTTGTCCACTCAGTGCCAGGCCAACAACACCAATACAGTCTGTTCCCTGAGTATTTCTAAAATGTAGAGTGAACATTTGTGCCGTTTGGTTATATTTAAGCAAACACTCATTTTTAAGTTAATTTGCCTACCCAACCTCTTACAAGCAAAAAAGTCTATAAACACAAAATTAAAATAAAAGGGAATTTAGAACTTGATGCAAAAATCTATTAAGCTAATATTGATTTAGCATGTTGTGGACACTGGGTGTGCTACACATGCCTAAAAACGGCAAAGTACTCAGGTTGTGTGTAGTTCACCTTGTCCTTCTGCCATGCTGTTGCTGTAAAAAAAAAAAAAAAAAACCGACTATTCAACAGTGTTTATAAACACTGTTCAGCAGGAGTAAAAAAAAAAAAAAAAAAAAAAAAAAAAAAAAGCGAAACAAAGTAACATTTTTATTTTTTACAAAATGGATTCTTATAATTTTTATCATAAAGAAAAATTAATATTGCACATACTTGACATAATGCATAACACTATATTATATTCATCTAAAGATCAAAGAGATGAGCTGATACGTTTAAAAAAAGAAACATTTTTTAATAAAATCTGATCAATGTTCGTTTACTCTGATTAAATCCTACTACCCCTTTCTGCCGTACGTTATTATTTTCCTGCTGATTTGTTTTGGACTACTTCTAATCATAAATATTTAAACTTACTTTTTTCCATTTTGATTCTTTTCTATCCTTTTTTTGCATTATTGCATTGCAAAAAAAAAAAAAAACCCACAAATTTGAAAAAAGCCTTTATTTCATTTGTAATAACTTTGCAGTGCCCTGTACCAGAATCATAATTTAGTGTCATTTTAATCAGGACAAACAATAGAATAACATTTATACTTGTTATCTCTTCAAGCAAATCTATTCCACCTCTACCTAAAAACTGGAATTTTATTATTTCTCTTTCTCTGTTCCTTCCTCACAGTTATTAGCTTTTGTAACCCCCTTGCCTTGCATTGTATTGTAACTGCATTGTCTCCCTTTTTTTTTTAATGTTTTTGTATAGCACTGCACAAACGGTTGGAGCAATATAAAATTTTGTATAATAATAACAACAACAAAAGCACTGTAAAAGGTAACTACTGATGCAGTAATGGATAAGAGTTTTGTAAAGTTAGTGCATATTCGTGTTGAGATTGGTAGCAACTAGGGGTGCCATTCCTGAGCATACACATCAGAAAGTACACTTGCACCAAATGACATTCATTTAAATGGTGGTCTACTGGCAACATTTTTCTACTATGCTAAAATGGGTGTATAAATGACATGCAACTGGGGCAAAGATAGAAAATTATACTACTACTGGTAAAAAAAAAACGTCAACATATGTATGACAATCAAACAAGCTGTACTTACGTCTGTGAGGAAAATGATGCAAGGTACTCAACCTGGCCGCCAGCAATAATAATACTTTTCTCATTTAGAGGGTTTAAGACTTGATGTAAGAAGCGAGTTGCTCCATGTCTCCATGTGTTGTATCCAAAGATCAGAACCACACGCAGGTCTGGATTATTTTTTAGACCTGTAAACCACAATAAAGAAACTTATGAGAACAGTCAGTAATAAACTATAGTGCTGTAATCAACCTAAACCCTTTTACTGCCAAGTCCGTACATTGAACGGACCTGGTGGAGGGTTTACACACACTCCTGCTGGCTGCAGCCACCAGGAGTGTGTGTTTATCTGACAAGCCAACTGCCTGCTGTCAGATGGAAACAATCTGGCTGCGATCCAGCTGTGCTATTTGCAGAGTGCAATCAAAGGGTGCAGGTGACATCATGGCTCTGTGAATCCAGCATTGCTGTCAAGTACTCTATGAGGAGTCACAACTTCTAGATTACATGACCGTAGGAAAACATATTCTAAAAAACGGAATATACACAGATTTCTCATACAAATGGAATGCGACACAGGTGAGATGAGGAGGAAAGGTAATATTTTTTTAACCAGACTTACATTAGCCCTTCCACTTTAACCATATACATATACACACACACATACACGCAAAAAAAACAGGTCCCTATTTGTGCATTGTACTAAACAGATCAGCTTACCAGCCTCTTCAAGTTTGCTCTCATCAAAGACTTTACACTTGGAGTCTTTAAAGAACTGAAATTTTTTTATTTTGACTCCAGCGATTTTGGGGAACAGAAGTGCAAAGCCAGACTCTCCATCTTCCATCTCCACTGGCTGATTACTTGTGGATCCTATGGGAGTAACTGATTAACAAAAAAAAAGTGAGAAATGAAAACTGTAGTGACATGAACCATACATGTTTCAATCTGATCTTTTGATGAAGCAATCATTTTGATACTCTGTTCCAATCTAGCAATTCTTAAGTTTTTTTTTAGCTTCCATTTACAACTGACTTTACGTCAAGGAAAAATAACCCCAGAGGGTTAGGACATGCTAATAATATTCAGGTGTGCTATATGGTGTATGGAGTGACTGATCCACTGTGAAAGGATTGCATTGATTTTTATTTACTTTGTTTTTTAAACCTTTCACACAGAAATAAATTACCAGCTGAATTTAACATTTGTGTTGCATCAATGGGATTAAATGATCAGTTGCATGAAAAAATACTGATGTGTGTATGGCTAGCATGTGCAGCCTGTTGAAGACATGTCACAGGATGCCCATGACTTATAAAGTGTAAAATGTATCACCTAAAGTCTAATAAGGAACTCAGAACATTAACAGAAAAGTTGTGTGTCATGATGTGCTGCGTGTGTTGATGTGTTTAAAGTGGAAATTTAATCAGAAAAAACGAAGTCCTGCTAGATCACTTCAGGCTGGCCCCTTTTGCAGGTTAGCAATGTAAAACATTAAAATAAGTGCCTATACAGTTTAAAATCCAGTAATACACTGTTCCATCCACCTCTGCACATGCTCAGTTTCACTCTATTTTTCAGCACTTTGCCTTAAATGTAGAGGACAATCTGTTGACAGTGTAAAGGTTTATCGTTGCTCAGGGGCTCTGGGATTCAGCAAAATGGCAGCCTCCAGCAAGAAGAAACAATAACAATGCTGGAGGCAATTTACAACACACACTGATTTTGACAGCATCATTATTAAAGTGGAATGCATGTTCCTTGCTAAAGAAAATTATTTTCTATCAAATTGTTATTGGTAAAGTCCCACTTTAATTCCAGATGCTGTAAGACTACAATAAAATGCTGAACTACAGAAAGTCCTGGGGTAAAATTCAGTGACTGAATTTTGGCTAATTAAAATGCTCAGTCAAAACACTGCACTTGCTGTACTTGTATTTACTTGCACCTCCTACCCCTCCCAGTATATATAATAAATGCTTTACTGCACAACAACCATACTGTTATTTATTCTTGTTACAAATGTCAACTATAACAAAAAAACAAATACTGCTGATTTACAATGTTAAAAAAAACAAAGGGAAATCCACTGGAGTTACAACCTGCCCTGACTTTATATTACCTACAATTCCTGGTGTAGCAAGTCCAACAACTTGACATTCACTAGGTAGAAGCTTCTCTAAGGCGACTGCCATTTCTGAACCATGTTTCTTTTTTGCTAGTTAAAAGAGAAAAAGCCAACTTTAGCAGAGATCAGCAGACATGCAGAATGAATGGGTAATACAATTCAAAAAGGACAAAAAAAAAAAAAAAAGTTACAAAAGTTCAGACACAGACCACTGTTATTCTGTGCATAGCCATCTACCCAAAAAACAAAATGACTGCATTTAATTGCATTCTGTGACTATGTGACATATGTAATAATTATAGCTTTGTATTTCCATTTAAAAACACCAAAAGACAAGCTGTGCTTTGCTTAACTACAGATACTATAACTACTTACAAGTCAGATAGTTTGAAACAAATGAAAAGTTACCTGACTGATCTCATAACTAGTCTTTTTAAATTGTGCTGATGTATGTCCATGTTATATTTGTCACTCTGATCACATATCTCACTGCATATCTCACTGCAGTGAGACATCATTGTTCGTATCATTTGTTTCTTTCTTTAGCCGCCTTGTGAAGAATTTCCCTCCCTTCCTGTCCCTTGAAACCCTTTACAAGTAAAGAAGGCAGCAGTGGTCGCTGAGTCCAGAAGGCACTCACTCTATTTTCATCTGTCCCCATGTTGGAGGGATATCTAATACCTTCCCTATCAAAAATGAATAAAACATTTTGACCCGAGTTGAGCTTTATGGTCTTGTTCACACTTGTAAAGGGGTGTTTGGTGAGCGGTTCTGACTCGTCATTCCCTAAACATCAGGACTAGATCTGTGCACTAAGCCAGTCAGCGGCCATTGGCTGACTACCATACAAATATCATCAGGAACTATGATGAATGGTTGTTGCGATCTATGGCCCAAAGCTATCAATTAATTGGTGGCCTAAGCTAACAATATGGCAGATTAGTGCAGTAATGTATGAATACAAACATGAAACAGCATGTAGGAAAGGACTAGTCCAGCTTCTGATCAGTAATGGAATTCCTAGGTACCCTCTATTTGCCCTGGAAAAAAAACATCACAAGTAACATGTCCCTGGGGTGCATGCCAGTCTAACAGGCATTCTTTCTACTGTTATAGTATTCGCAGGCTCTTACAACATCATTAGTTTTGTAATCTGGCTTTTATATTCCACATCAAATGCATTCAGATGTTCAACTTAGCATTGCCATATGGGCTTATTGCTGCAGGTCCCAGCAACTATGTACATACTGTATTTTTAACATGGTGCTCCTTGGGAAAGGCTGCAGAAGCTTGACAGAGTTACTATGGGCAGCCATGAGCTAAAAAAAGTGTAAATGTATTTTACACCATCTTACCCTTCTTTGGTCCACAGTGTGCCCCATGGTCATTAAGTGACTCAGAGTCTGTGAAGTACAGAAACATTTCTGGAATAATATATATTTTCTACAAGAGAAGACATAATAAACAGTTAGTCACATCCAACTATAATCAAAGCGTTATATGATAGATATACATACAACAAAATAATATTTAAAGGAGAGCTTCAACAAAAAATGGAAAAGCTTTCACTTACAATGCAATCTTGACTAATGGGGAGCTCCATGCTAAAGATGTCAACCATTTTCTGTGTACTAAAACACATTGGACACCTTCCTATGCTCCGATATAGTCACAAAGGGGAGTAAGAAAAAAAAAAAAAAATCTGTACAACTTCCTGCTCACCTCCAAGAACAAAGCGATCTTCTGGCTATACACTAGGCATTATATGGTAAACACTGATGCAAGCCAGCTACTGAGCTGAACCACTGGCTGCACAATAAAAGAACAAGCTCCATCCACCTATCAGACACCAGATTTACTCAATCATGCATGCGTTTAAAACCAAAACTGCCTGTGAGTGCCAAAAGAGATTCAGAATGAAAGAAAAAATGGAATTGGTTGCTATGGATTACATGATGCATTCAGACACTTGAGAACCACTGGGTGGAACTGGCATACTGACAGTCCTAATACAACCTAGACATGAACAGATTAGTACCATGTGAGTATCAACAAAATGCAGTCTGCTTGTAATGCCAGAATGCAAGTGTACAATCCAGATGCACATGTTCCTGCGTAAAAAATGGCTGTTTGTATAAGTGGGTGCTGCACCGACCTTCGACTGGAATCGAACAGAATCAGGAAGGGAGAATGTCACCAGCACACCGAGGATCACCAATATGGGGCCAAAAGTTTTAATGAATGATCAAATAGTTACAGCAAGGCAACATTTTCGGAGTCTCGCAGGACCCCATCACGTGCCTGATGAAGGGGTCCTGCAAGATTCCAAAACGTTGCCTTGCTGTAACTATGTGATCGTCATTAAAACTGTTGGCCCCATATTGGTGATCCTCGGTGTGCTGGTGACATTTTCCCTTGCTTGTAATGCCAGCCATCAGAGACAACTTTGTTTTATTGCTGTTAATACATGTGATGTTGATGGGGGGGGGGGGGGGGTTTGGGGAGGGTTACCCACTCTCTATAATTAAAAAAGAAATCTGGAAAAAAAATACAGTACTAATGTTGTACACTGGTCTGTAGTAGAAATAAAATAACACAAGGCAGGATATATGGTTTTAGTTGAATGGACACTCAAACTGAGAAATGTCAAAAATAAACAGGTACACATCAATAGAAGTTCTATATAAAAAAAAGTAATACACATTTTAACCAAACATAAATACAATAATCGGAGGCTGAAAATAACACAAATGTAATACAGAGGGTCAGGCAATGCAGGAAATTAAAAAAAAAAAAAAGCCTACCATAAACTCTATGAATGATTAAAGTTCACCTTTAGAACACATTACAGCCATATTTAAGGTGTAACATGCTCTACACCCATCCCCCTCGCCCCCTAAGTCCCCTTCCTATGACAGTGGGCAGGGATTTCTCTTTCCACCCAACCGCTGTCACTTTGAAAATTGGCATGGCTGTTTGGGCTACGCCTCAGACCTGTGAATGAAAAACTACAAGTCCTATCTGCCACCACAGCAAACGGCTTGTAGTTCTAAATGGACTAAGACTGCACTGATCAGCGCACTTGTGGTCCATTCACACTACCTATAGCTTTCTAACTGAAAGCCTTTACCAGAAAGCTGGAGGGAGAGGGAGCAAGGAAAAAAAATAATACATGCACATTTTTTTCCTGCAAAAATATGTACATTCATAATTTGTTTTCCTAAAGATGAACTTAGCATCTAAACATTTTGTCTTTTTTTAAATTTTCCTTTGGGTGTTCTTTCGAAAGTTAGTTTTTCACCCCATTCACTAAGCTAAGGGTAAATTCCAATGCTAAGTTAATAGCCTATTTGCCTTTAGTATCAATCCCACTATTTTGCTTTTACACTTTTTTTTCTTTTATGGTTACCTACTCTCATCGGATTAAAGCAACATTTTCAACAGCATTCACTGCAATAGGGAGTACTTTGCTATTACCGTCATGTCCTGCTTCGACGCTCTTCCCTTGTTTAAGCCAAAAACCAAGGACATTATGCAGTAGCAACATTAAATAAATCAGAAGTTGTAATGCAAATCAAAAGCACAGTCCACCTTTCTGACCAGGTTTCATATTACAGCCATTTTTAGGGTGTAACATGAAAAATGGTCACATTCACCAGCCCCCCACCCTTGCACAGCCACATCATCCATTCACAGGGATCTGTGAATAGGAAGACTACAAGCCCCAAATGCCTCTGTGGCCGAAAGGCTCATAGATTTCAAGGGAGAACAAGTACAGCGACATTACCGCACTTGTAGTCCATTGTCCAACTTCCTCCAGCCCCATACCAGAAGATCTATACTTGTCAGAAACTGGGGCTGAAGGAAAGGTCAGGAGCCTGTGCACTGCACCTGTGATACACTGATCATGGTTGCAATGCTCTCCAATGCTAAAGATTCCTAAATGCATTAATTATTGTGGGTGCATTGATTACATTTAGGTTGGATTAAATTGTCATACCTCAAGTTCTTCTTTCACAACATGGACCAGAGAATGACCACTCAAATCCATACCTCCTGCTCCCATTGAGGATATCCAGGTTATTTTTTGCCTTGTTTTCAGCTTACGCCAAGCACAATCCCTCCACAGTCTGCAAACACTGAGACCAAAAATAGAGTATTAAATGAAATATATAATCACAAGACAAAACCCAAGAAGATAAATCACCTTTAGTTTGATGTGCAGCAATCTGATTTCCTAAAACTTCACATAAACAACTGCTGCTTCCTTGGAATCAGCACAATACTGCTCATTTCACTGATTTTGCAAAGAATGCCCCCAGAAAGGTATCTGGCTGCTGTGATTAATGGGCTGTTTACCCCAGCAGTTTATAACAACACTGGGGCCTACATGACTAGATCAGGCAGACCTTCCCACTTAACACGAATGAAATAGGAGGTCCCTTGAATAAAACACATCATTTTTCTGAAAAGAAGCAGGTCCAAAAATTCCAAAGTTTGCTAAGCTATGTGAAATGTAAATGGATCTTGAAAGTTTTTATTTTTTTCTTCAGAAAAACTTCCAGGGGTCATTTGAACTAGCAGTATTTATGTTACTGTATTCTCCAGTGAAAGCATAACACATGACCAGTTTAAAACAAAGTGTATTGTATTAAACTAGCCATAATCTATGCATTGATGTGAGTTGGTAAAAGTAAACATTTTCCTTTGAAAGAGGCTGACAAGGGTTGCAATGGGTGTTATTTACTAAAACTGAGTGCAAAATTTGGTGCAGCTCTGCATAGAAATCAATCAACTTCCAGGTCTTATTGTCAAAGTTCAATTGAACAAGCTGAAGTTAGAAGCTAATTGGCTACCATGAACAGCTGCACCAGATTCGGAGTGCTCCAATTTTAGTAAATCTCCCCCACTGTGTTAAAAGATGAGAATTACAAAAATTGTTGAGTTTAACCACCTGCCCTCCTGAGGATTTACCCCCCTTCCTGACCAGGTAATTTTTTGCGTTACGGCGCTGTGTTACTTTAACTGACAATTGCGCGGTCATGCAATGCTGCACCGAAATAAAATTTTTGTCCTTTTTTCCCCACTAATTGAGCTTTCTTTTGGTGGTATTTGATCGCTTGTACGTTTTAAATTTTTTGCATTAGAAGAAAAAAAAAAGAAACAACAATTTTGAGAAAAAAACATTATTTTTTACTTTTTGCTCTTAAACATTTTCAGTAAAAAAAAAAAAAAAAAAAAAAAAAAAAAAAAAAAATCAAATTTCGTCATAAATTTAGGCCAAAATGTATTCCGCTACATGTCTTTGCCTACATGTCTAAAAAAAAAAAACCAAATATGTGTAAATTAATTGGTTTATGTGAAAGTTCGTATAGATATTGGATTTTTTTAAAAATTTTTTACTAGTAATGGCGGCGATCAGCGACTTACAGCGGCACTGCAACGGTTATTCTAACACTGCGGGGAACTGACTTGGTGTCACTGACATCCCCAGTGACACCAGTACAGTGATCAGTGCTACATTAGTGTAGGCCCGTAGCGCAACCTAGTAGGGGGCATTGTCTGACAATCTTGGGCAAAAGCCCACCATTATAAGTCTAGGACTTAATACTGTAGATATAGCAATGAGAGTCTCAACAGGTATAGCAAGGCATATTTAACATGGCGGACTCTGAGGTGCTACTTGACTGCAAGAAATCGATTGTGGCAACGTTGCACTTCAGCAGAGAAATCCGGAAAAATAGCAATTTTAGTGTTATTGAAGGGTATATTTCCTTTCTCCCTGGAGAGGGCATCACGGTCCTTATAAACAAATCCTCCAAAAACCCAGCTGGGTTTGCTCCCTCTGGGCCTTCGGGAAGGCCAATGAAGCGGAGGTTGTTGCTCCTCATCCAATTCTCAAGATAGTCTTTCTTCTGCTGCAGTGGAAAGAGAAGATGGTGCATATGTTCAGAGGAATCTGGAGTGGGGGAAGGGCGTCCTCCACTTCTGACACGCGGGCCCACAGCTTCTGAAGGTCCTGCCAAATAAGGGGGATGTCCACCATAACCTCTTCTATTTTTAAAATAAGAGACGTTTGGCAGGCAGGCAGAAATTGCATCCAGCACTCTGGCCATCTCTGCTGATGGAGGTCCTTGTTCAGTGGAGGAAGAGCCGCCATCTTCCCCAGGCAAATCCTGATCTTTATGTTTCATTTTTCCAGCTTAGCGCTGGCCTCTCGTTTCCAAGGGGGAGACATGAGTGGAGGTGTTAGGCAGACCCTCCGAGAGCAAAACGGGTCGGTTAGGCTGCTGTGGAGTATGCAGGATCAATGAAAGGATAAACCTTTGGCGGAGCTCTGCTCCATGTAGCATCAGGCCACGCCCCCTAAGTGATACATTTTTGATTATTTTTATCTCTAGGATACATTTGGTTTTTTTTTTGGTTTTTCACTGTGAATGAGTCCACATGGGGGAATGGAATCTGCCCCCCCCCCCTCCCACCACTTAATGTTAAAGGGGGCTTCCAGATTCCAACAACCACAAATACAGGACTATGGCAAAAAAAGGCCCTCGCTCTCATCAAAATGGGGTTTGGTGAATTGAGCCTCATGTGTTATCCCTGTTCTGTGTCCTTGTAAATTTTATCTCTCTTCCCATCTGGTGACACTGTTCTCACAGGACAAGAACTGAGTGGAAATCCCTCTAACAAAGCCCCAGAGAGCAAGAAACGTCCAATGGAGTTCCAATTGTCCCCCTCTGAATCAAAAGTCCACTATGCTCAGCTGCCTGTTTCAGGTACCGAGAGAGCTGGAAGCATAACATCAATTCCAAGGACATCTGTACAATCTTACTTCAATTTACAAAAACTACGTAGGAGGACACACATTTACAATCGAATCAATTTCTATTCAGACACACGGGTCTTTACAGTATATAGTTTGTAGATGTAAAGGACAATGTACAGATTGTATAGTGTATGGTCAGCTTAAAGTGACACTAAACTCTGGTCTAAAAAGAAAAAAAAAAATCTATTTAGGTCTGTATCCTTAACTCTAAAAATACTTTCTATTGCTCTCAACCTCCAATTCCTTTTTTGCTGCTGTAATATGACTTCCTGTTAGGGGGTGGCTACAATTATTCTCCATCATCCCAGTTTACGTAGGAATGTAGCTGTCATCTCTTGCTCCCTCCTGAGACAGCCTATAGGATTTATAGTGTGCATAGAGCAATGCACATGACCACAACTAATGTGCATTGCTCCTTCTAAACAAATAGAAGTGAAGAGGGAAAAGGAGAGGTTCGGTAGCTCATTCAGGACATTAAAAGGAGGCAGAAAATACAATAGGAAATCTGGGACGGCTCCTTACATCACAGCATTTTAAATAAATATGTCTAGATCTAATTTTTTTACTTTAATATATTATTATAGATGTTCAAGGGGAACTAAACCATCCTATCCTTTACAGTTGAGGAAGCTGCCATCTTAGCCTCTGTTTGATCTGCAGTTGCCATGGTGCTGCACGTGATCAGCTTTGACACCAGCCATTTGATGGCTTGACAGTTCTGCTTAGAGCTAACATAGGCAAACTAGTACCTGTAAGTCTACATTTAGATGTGCGGCTAAATCTGATGCTAATCTGAAGAGCAATCTGCAATCGAATCACTTTTCACAGGTGATTGACAGACAGGGACAAGGCAATATGACGCCTCCTCACTATGTTTCAACCCCATTTTTGCCGACAAGCGAGCCACAACCATGTGAATTTTATGCTGTTGCGGGGCATTTGGGGCACTTTTCCATTTGCTTGAATAGTTCGCGTTCAGTGGGCTTTGCGCCCGCCAATCATGATATGTTGGATAGCTTTCATGTAAACACACCCCCCTCTGCTGCCTTTTGCAGTTTAACCTCATTACCGCGCTATAGCCAAAAGACGGCTACAGCGCGATTCTCTCATTCTGGGAGGGCATCTATAGACGTCCTCCCAGAGCGCGCCTGGGGAATGCATCGGGTGCGCTCTTTGACTGCTATGTCCTTTGGACACAGCTCATCACAGATCACTGTAAAGGTCACAGTCACATCTAAACAGACTGCTGGTTATCGGATTTCCCGTTCTTCAGCGCTATCACTGTATGAGGAAAGGGTCACCGATAACTGGCAATCCTGACAGTGCTTTGTTTACACGATAATCAGGGGCACTGATCATTAGTGCCCTGTATATCAGTGCTGACTATCGGTGCAGCCTCATCAGAGCATATCAGTGAAGAAGAAAAATTACCTATTTGCAAAATTGTACAACAGAAACGAAGAAAAGGGTGTTTTTGTTTTTTTTTTTTTTAAATTTTCGGTCGTTTTTCATTTGTTCAGCAAAAAAAAAAATCACCCTAGTGGTGATTAAATACCACCAAAAGAACACATTGTCTCAAAAACATTTCTAAAAGTTTCATTTGGGTACAGCGTTGCATGATTCAGCATTTGTCATTCAAAGTGCGACAGCGCTGAAAGCTGAAAATTGGCCTGGGCAGGAAGGGGGTGAAAGTGACCACGATTAAAGTGGTTAAAGGAAATGCAAACCCAACATTTCCTACTCCTGATAGGTGCCTGCAGTACTTGTATGAAAAATTATCCTGTTCTCTTTGTATTGCTTCCTTTGGGTGAAATCCCTGGTGTTCCTGTCAGCCCCTCTGGTTTTTTAACTGACCACACTAGGCAGGAGCATGGTCAGTTCTCTAGCTGTGATGGGAACTCAGTGTGGTCTCCTCCACTGATCAGACTATTGCTGACACCCCCCCCCCCTCCACTTGAACAGCCATTCACTGGGAACATCAGCATGCTGCTGTTTCCCCACCCTTATCTCTCTATGCAGCTAAGAACATGGTAATGTAATCACTTATAAAAAAGGGGAGAAAATATATTTATAGTGTTTCCCTATCTATACACAAATGTTTTAGTTCTATTTTAAACTGTATGGGTTGTTATACAAGATGAGGGTTTACATATACTTTATGGGACAGGTAAAAATGCAGTTAAATCATGCATTTTTCCTGCCTCCCCCTCAACCACACATCTAAACTTAGCCTGCAAATAATCATTCACAGTATGTCTTGAAAAATGACTGTTTTGGGAAATAAAGGAACTAAACTCATCAATTTAAGTTTCCCAAAACAGTTACAGTGAAGGAAATAAGTATTTGGTCCCCTGTTGATTTTGAACGTTTGCCCACTCACAAGGAAATGATCTGTCTAAAAATTGACTGGTAGGTGTATTGTAGCACTGAGAGACAGAATAGCAACATAAAATTCAAAAGAAATGCAAGATCCTCACGTGTAGTTCTGGGATGATTCCTCACTGTTATGATCATTGACACTCCACAAGGTGAGATCCTGCATTGTGCACCAGACCTAGGGAGACTGACAGTTGTTTTGTGTTTCCTCTATTTGCGAATGATTGCACCAACTGTTGTCACCTTCTCATCAAGCTGCTTCGCAATAGTTTGGTAGCCCAGTACAGCCTTGTGTCAGTCTACAATCTTGTCCCTGACATCCTTGGACAGCTCTTTGGTCTTTGCCATGGTGGAGAGTTTGGAATCTGATTGTTTGATTGCTCCTATGGACAGGTGTCATTTACACAGGTAACAAAATGAGATTAGCAGCACTCCCTTTAAGAGACTGCTTCTAATCTTAGCTTGTTACCTGTATGAAAGACACCTGGTAGCCAGAAATCCTGCTGAATGATAGAGGATCAAATACTTATTTCCCTCATGAACATGCAAATCAGTGCATAATTTATTAGACATGCATTTCTTTTGAATTTTATGTTGCTATTCTGTCTCTCGGTGTTACAATACACCTGCCATTCAATTTTTAGACTGATCATTTCTTTGTGAGTGGGCAAACATTCAAAATCAGCAGAGGATCAAATACTTATTTCCTTCACTGTACAGTCAAGACATGCTGCAAACTATAACTGTCAGTTACTTGTGCTCCCAGCTAATTATCAAGCCATCAAATGCCTGGTGTCATAACTGATCACATGTGCAGCACTAAGGCAGTTGCAGATCAGAGACTAAGAAGGCAGCTTAATGAAACAGCATGCAGGGTACACAGCGCTCAAGGCTGACCTGCCAGAAATCCCATGCTGCTGGGTGCGTCTGTTTGGTCCACACCCACGATCAGTGAACATGAAGAATAGAAGTAGCAGCACTCCAATATACAAACAGCAGATGTCTTTATTATTCAGTCCATGAAGATGTAAAGACAGCAATATATGGCTCGGGGAACATCAGTGCTGAGCCGTGTATTGCTGTCTTTTTATCTTCATGGCCTGAATAATAGAGAAGTCTGCTGTGTGTATATATTGGAGTGCTGCTACTTGCAGATGGCAGTTTCCTTGGCTGTAAAGGATAGGAGGGTTTAGTTCCCTGTAATCAGAATGACATTATGAGGTCTGAGAGCTTGGATCACTGCAGTGTAGCGGCTGGTGTGCAGTGCGATCCAGCTGAGCTCAGTTTAATGACGATGCGCTGAGCTTGGCGGATTGAACCGTTTTGATTTTTTTAAAGCAAATTTTATCAAGTTGTCATACAGATATTTCATACAGTTCAGCTGAAAGCTGTGCAGTGGGAGGCAGTGGATTGGCTCTCACTGCGCTGACAGACAGTACTGTGTGCAGCACTTTTCCTCAGCACGCTGTAATCGCACTCCACCGGAACACAATGGGGTGGACCAGCCATGTGGTATGATTGTGCTGGAATGGCAGCCCAACACAGTTCCACCGCATGTGGTGCAATTCAAACCTGAATGATAAAAATGGAGCCTAGCCTCCACAATGAGGGAAATATGTGAAGTCTAAGGAACTTTCCCAGAAGAAAATCACTCCCAGCTCAGGCACACTGATAACCCCCCCGCCAAGCACACAATGGAGGCAGTGCAGACACACCAGGCCGCTCTCAGCAGGGTCTTGCTGGGCAGGAAGCTCATCACTCTCTCCACCACCTCGGCCAGGCTGCTGAGGACGTAGTGTCCCTGGTTCTCCAGGCTGTTGTGGCTCCTGGGCCCATTGTTGTCCGTCACATCTCCACACTGATCCACATCCATCTCCGACATGATCACTAAGCCTTCCACTTCCGCCGGAATTGCCGTCATTAAGCGGCGCGTTGTCGTGGAAACCACGTAGCCGTAGCCCAGCCGCTGCCGCCATGTTTGATCAGGGAAAAGCTGTGTAGGGAGGGAGTTGTAAGGCGCATGTCTGTTGTACAGCAAGCTGGAGTGATAGTGAAAGCTCAACAGACTTTGAGCGAGCTTATACGGTGCTTAGAAAGAGGTTCCAACGTCCCCTTGTTTGTGGCCTATGGATAAGAGTACTGTGCAATCTCCAAGAGTATTGGCACTCCACAAAACTTATCCATATACTACATTGTGTCATATGTAATCCAATTGCTACAAGAGTGGGGAAGTGTTTGTGAAAAAACACCAGTTAGCCACTTGCCTACCGGCCACTTATAACCCGTTCCTGCCTACCGGCCACTTACACCCCCTTCCTACCTACCTGCCACTTACACCCCCCTCCTGCCTACCAGCCACTTACACCCCCTTCCTACCTACCTAGCACTTACATCCCCTTCCTGCCTACCGGCCACTTATACCCCTTTCCTGCCTACTGGCCGCTTACATCCCATTCCTGCCTACCGGCCGCTTACACCCCCTTCCTGCCTACCTGCCACTTACACCCCCTTCCTGCCTACCGGCCACTTACACCCCCCTCCTGCCTACCGGCCACTTACACCCCCTTCCTGCCTACCGGCCACTTATATCCCATTCCTGCCTACCGGCCACTTATACCCTCTTCCTGCCTACCGGCCACTTATACCCCCTTCCTGCCTACCTGGCACTTATACCCCCTTCCTGCCTACCGGCCACTTATACCCTGTTCCTGCTTACCTGGCACTTATACCCCCTCCTGCCTACCGGCCACTTATACCCCCTTCCTGCCTACCGGCCACGCCACTTTACACCCCGTTCCTGCCTACCGGCCACTTACACCCCGTTCCTGCCTACCGGCCACTTATACCCTCTTCCTGCCTACCGGCCACTTATACCCCCTTCCTGCCTACCTGGCACTTATACCCCCTTCCTGCCTACCTGGCACTTATACCCCCTTCCTGCCTACCGGCCACATACACCCTGTTCCTGCCTAACGGCCACTTATACCCCCTTCCTGCCTACCTGGCACTTACACCCCATTCCTGCCTACCGGCCACATACACCCTGTTCCTGCCTAACGGCCACTTATACCCCCTTCCTGCCTACCGGCCACTTATACCCTCTTCCTGCCTACCGGCCACTTATACCCCGTTCCTGCCTACCGGCCACTTATACCCCCTTCCTGCCTACCGGCCACTTATACCCCGTTCCTGCCTACCGGCCACTTATACCCCCTTCCTGCCACTTATACCCTCTTCCTGCCTACCGGCCACTTATACCCCCTTCCTGCCTACCTGGCACTTATACACCCTTTCTGCCTACCGGCCACTTATACCCTCTTCCTGCCTACCGGCCACTTATACCCCCTTCCTGCCTACCGGTCACTTATACCCCATTCCTGCCTACCTGGCACTTATACCCCCTTCCTGCCTACCTGGCACTTATACCCCCTTCCTGCCTACCGGCCACTTATACCCCCTTCCTGCCTATCGGGTACTTTATACCCCCTTCCTGCCTACCGGGCACTTATACCCCCTTCCTGCCTACCGGACACTTATACCCCCTTCCTGCCCAGGCCAATTTTCAGCTTCCAGAGCTGTCGCACTTTGAATGACAGTTGTGTGGTCATGCAACATTGTACGTACATCAGAGCCAGGAGTGGCACAAGTGCCGGGTGGATCTGGAGCTGACGGCAGGTAGCTGAAGACCGAGGAGATCCGGATGCAGGCCAGGTGTGGATGCAGGAACATAGGTGCAGCAGCAGGCAGGTATGGTGGCAATCAGGAAGCACACTGGGACTGGACACAGGAGTGTGGATGCAGCAGCAGGCAGGTATGGTGGTGACCAGGATGCAGGCCAGGTGCAAGACCGTGGGTGCAGCGGCAGGTAAGTATGGCAAACGTCAGGATGCAAGCCAAATGCAGGATTGTGGGTGCAGCAGCAGGTAAGTATGGTAGCCGTCAGGATGTGAGCCAGGTACAGGTGCAGGTAAGTAGATGCAGCAGAGTCAGACAAGCCAGGTCAGTATCAAGCGGGCAGATCAAGTACAAGGGAGCAGGCAAGCGGATGGTCAGGAATAGCCGAGGTCAGTGCAGGCAGAGTTCTTTCTTAGTCAGGCAAATCAGAATACAGGCAACAGGATCAGGTAATATGTGCAGGAACGTTGTAGACCAGAAGGCATTGATTTTACTGTTCTGCAGGTTTGAATAGCCCGCCTGGCGTGACGTGTAAGCTTACTGCGCATGTGCGAGTTTCCGTGCTACTGCGCATGAGCGCCTGTATGCTCCCGCGCCTGCGCACTCGCACTGTCACGGCCCGAGGGGATCTGTTGCCGTCACACGGCGACAGGATCCCTGACAACTGGACAACAGCGCTGTAGCTGTCATTCAGCTATAGCATGGTTGTAAAGTGGTTAAAGCCGAACTTCACTCTCTCAGTCAACACTATTTTTAAATCCTTATGCTGCTAACATTACTTAATAGGAAACTACATTATACTTACTTCTTTTACCTTTTTTTTTTACATTTCTTCAGTTACTTCCTGGTTTCCAGGGCTAGGCAAATTATGCCATGCATCCCACGAGTCTTCAGGAGGGGAAGAGGGGCTTTCTCAGCTAAGCACAGGCTCCTGCTTGAGCTAAGGGCAGATAGATTCCAGGAAGTAAATGCTATATGAATCATCTGCCCTTACACAAGATGGCCACAGCCAGAAATACCAGGGGGTGTTTTTGAAAGTGATTTCTCAGCAAAATAAAACATGGAGACATGAATGGATGGGTGAGTTTGCTTTTAATATTTAAAATTAATTAAAAAGTGTTTTTGGCTTGTGGTACTCAGATGCAGTGCAGTTCCACTTTAAAATGAACGTATAAAAAACTATGAGCGAGCAGGCTTTTTATTTAAAGTGACACCAAGGTTTCTTTCACACTGATCCACTTTTGGTGCATTTAAAAAAAGTGGAAGAAAAGCAGAAGAAAACTGCAACCCTTTATATCCTATGGCACTCTTCACACTGATTTGTTGTTCTTCAATTGCGATAAAAAAATCCTGCTTGCTGCACTTTTGGTGCATGTTTGTTCAATTTAAAAAAAACACACACCAAAAACGTATCCCTTCATTGAAATGAATGGAAACTGCAGCAAAAATGCAACGCACCGCTGGTAAGTGCTTTGTCCAGTGGGGAAAATGTAACGTAAATGCATCAAAAATGCAAAGTAACACAGCAAAAACACATATGCATTTTTTTTGTGAGTTTTTTTTAGCGGAGCAATGTAAAAGCAGCTTTAAGGTTTTTTTTAAGTTAGAATAATGCTAGATAAAATCTGGATAAGATCTGGATGAAAAACTCTGATAATAGCGTTTTTGTGCCAGCTGGTAGTAGCATTTAGAAGAGTTTACATTCTATTAGCATTTTACAGTACATGAAAAAAGCAAAACTCTAGAAAAAAGCTGTAAGGAGCGTTCAGCATTTTTTTCTGCCGGAAAAACGCTCGCAAAACCTCTACAAAAATTTATTTTTTTCTGCTCCTAAACACTGAAGCTTTAAAAATGCTTTTAGCATAAGACAGTGTGCATGGACACATAGGATAACACTTTTTAGCTTCTAGGAGCAGAAAACAATTGCTCATAATAGTTTCTAGGAGCTTAAAATAGGCTACCGTGCATGAGGCCTAACTTTTTATTGTTTTTAAAAAAACTAAATTGTGTATATTGTAATAAGGGGGAGCCCGGGATCACCAAACAGCCTTTATTGTTTTTCATAAATCAAGCAAACAGCTTTTTTCAAGCAAAAGTAAACACACACAGTACACAATTTTGGCATCATGAAAAACAACACGATGGCTCACCGCCAGTATACCCGTCCCGCACCAGGGTTTAGGGTTCCCGTCTGCTTCAGGGTGCCACAAAGGCCATAGGAGCTCAGCAAACCCTGTTTTCAGTTGCCAGACAATTCACGGTTCCTTATAAAGCTGTGACCTATCTCACACTCCACCTCACCGACTGGTGCTGATTCCTTTCAACTCCTTTTTTGACATCTACTGCAGGCAGGTTAACCTTCCGGAACCAAAGTCAGGATTGGAGGTTCTTTCTACGGTTGTCACCTCATCCCTTTGACACCAAACACATAATATTTACACAGGTTCTGAGGTTAATTTAATGCACATAAGGCACTAAGCGAGTTTAATTACCACGTTAATCATCCGCAGAAGCTGTGTAATTAATGTGTTTGATTTTAAAGGGATTAGGTGGCAACTTTAGTTCTTTCCCACCCATAGTCTCTGAGCCTCCAAATTCTGGGTCCCCTGAGTACTCAAAACTGCATTCAAGTTGTCCCCCTTTAGGGGAACATAACCCTAATAATGGGGACATGTATCTCCTGTCCAGGGCCCATCCCTTGCATCCTGCATAGTATTCTTAAAGTCCAACTCTAGGATCATTTTAAATAATCCCTAGCAGTGGGGCTGCACCCACATTGCAAGGGTTAATTGCTCATTTTGTCTAGGGGAGAGAATAAACAGTTTTACTTTCCTAATCCTTTACTCCCCTGCTGGACTGTTGTTCAGCATCAACATATTTAGTGCAGGGCTATGGACCCTGCTCTGGTCTTGATGTCAGGACCACAGACCACTACATTGTGGAGGAGAAGAGGGGATGGGGTCCTGTGGCTTTGTTTGAAGTGTCTGACCATGTCCTTTAGCATGTCTGAAATTTCTGACAATCTGTTGCATTCTCTGCATTAAGGTAAAAAACCTTCCTATTGTAGCACTATTTGTACACTTTTTTGCAGCTACTGGGGTATGATGGCGCCACCTGTATAGTAATAGGAACAGAGTCCTTATAATATGTGTGATCAGGACAAGATCTCTAACAAGAGCTAGTGCCTACACTCAATTGGGGCTTGTGGAT